GTTCTCTACTGTTATTGTTATACACTGAATATAAAATAATATATATATATAATATGTCAATCAGTAGATTAGAGAAGGGAAGTTGGGAACCAGTGTGTTAAGTGACACCTATAACCAAATGGTATCATTGGTGTATCCAAATAAAGCTAACTGTTTTGGCAGGACGTCGACAACATTTACTACATCAACAACTGGAGACAGTTCAACCTGCAGGACTTCAGCCACTTAGACAGCAGGTGAGATACAGGACAGTGTTGTTTCATCCAATCTTACCTTACGGACTATATATTCATCTCCTTGTCCCACATCCTTTCTCCTTTCCTTTCCTCTCAGGGACTTGGCATTAGCAGTAGCAGCTCTGTCTTTCAACCAGTGGTTTACCAAGATCTACTGCAAAGAACTCAAACTGGTACACTCTCTTCTAAGTTCATTGTATGTGTTGTTCTGTTGTTTGAGAAATAGTGCCACGTACATGGAAGCCCATAAGCTCATGTGAAAAATTGTCACCACCTGTTCATAGTTATGTAATCTGTTGGATGGCACAGAATGAAAGTGTTGAGACTGGATGACCAGCTTCTTTAAAATGTCTTGACTTCATATGATTTCTACGTATGGCACTTATTGTGTTCTAAATGGTCTGCTTGTTTTACCATTATATTGAAGCCCACATGGGCACGAGTGAAAATAAATCACACCAACAGATGTGCAGCTGAGCCACTGCCTGATGCTGTAGGAGTGGCGATAAAGGACCCTTCCTAAATCCGGCCCCTGTTGGAACCTCGTTCAGCTTTCTCCTTTCCTGGAGCCTACTTAGATATGCTATGTGCTAGGCTAATGTGAAAAGACAACCACATTTTAAAAATGGTTAAAAGATACAAGTTAGCTAATGGTGGCAAAACACTAGCTGGCTAGCTAGCTAATCTACATCAATTGTTAGCTAGGTAATTAAAATAAATTAAAAAAGCGTTTTGATAACTTTAGATGTGTAACTAGCTAGCTAACAATTAATGTAGGTTAGCTAGCTAGTTAGCCAGTATTTTGCACTCTATAATTTTGCAAAATTATAGAGTGCAACTCATTGCTCGTTCTTGTTCATTGCTTGGTTCAGTATCTCGGGTATCTTCGACATGTGGCACCAGGAACCGGGGATCGAACCAACAACTTTCCGATTAGGGGACGACCCGCTCTGCCTCTGCACCACAAAACACTGGAGCCTACATTTCCCAAAACTTTGTTTAGACCCTTTGCTCTGCTGGACTGCTGGAAGCCTTTTAAACTTATTGAGGCACAGCCATTTACAGGAAGATGAGCCGTTCACTGCTTCCAGTATTATCCCACCAGCAGCCTGCAATAGTCTCCCCTGGTTCCTGGTTTCAAGGGTTTTTGTGAATCTATGGGAAATGTATCGCCACATTTCTCTGCACTAACAGGTTCCACTCGTTGTTTGGAGCCATAAAAATAAAATATTGTAATACCAGACTGGGCTGTCCGTCTCTGTCCCTTCAGTCAGTAGACGTCCAGCAGCAGCTGACTTTCCTGCTGTCCAGATCTCCCAGTCTGGAGGAGCTCTCACTGGAAACCAGTGGACTCAAACTGTGAGTTTGTGTGTGTGTGTCTGTGTGTGTGTGTGTGTGTGACTGTAGGCATATAACAAACAACAAGCTTCAGCTTTTCTTTGAGGGTATTTTGTTTTAAGGAAGTATTAAGGAGTATATTTGTTTTCTATTTTTAGATGTGAAGATAATAAAGTCCTAATAGTCAATCAATGATCAAACTATGATCACTTTAAATTACAGTCAATAAAAATAGCCAGCCCTATTTCTTGCTTTGTTGTACCAACTTCCAAATATGTGATTAAGTTTAAATATTATATTATATATATTATATAAAATTTCTGTTGCTCATTTGCTGGGGACCCCATACAACCCACTCAAGGACCTCTGACCAAGAGACACTGGGTTAGGGAACTACTGCTCAAGAAATAATTAAACACAGGCTGTTTCTTAGTCTGATTTTACAGGGATTGATTGAGATTGAATAGTAACCTTGGTATTCTGCTGCAGGGACTTTGCAGTGAAAATGGCAGCTGCCCTACGTGAGCACACCTCCTCTGCCCTGCAATCTATCAACCTCTCAGGAAATCCAATCGAAGACAAAGGTGGGCACTTTATACGTCACATCTAAGTTGTATAAGCACGGTATTAGAATGGACCAGTTGTTGTAAGCCATTTTGAGGCAAGTAGCCAGTTCTTCTGCTTGCCTTTCTCTGTGAAGTTATGTCAGTTAGTGGAATGGGCAGCTTCAGTATTTATCTGGAATTAAATTTGGCATCTTGTTGAGCCAAGGGTCAGTTCACCCAAATTAGAAAAAAAACTACCTCTGGTAGTATCTAGCCGTGCATGTATGGGGGGCAGGAGTGTTTGGTACTTTAAAGGTGTGTAACATTAGAGAAGATCTATTTTCAGAAATGGAATAATAATATTCATAGGTATGTTTTCTTTAGTGTATAATCACCTGTGTAAGTGTGAATGTTGGAATCGCTAGTTTTTTGTTTTTAGTTTTTGTCTGCTGTGAAAACATGTACATGTGATACAATGAGGAATGGCGACAGTACTCATATCAGCTCTGCATTTTAAATGAACACTAGCAATTTCATATGGTTTGTGCATATTATGGTGCACTTGTATACTATACTACTATAATAAACCTTTGTTTGACCACATGCTTGTTTAAGTCAGTATGCGTATTGAATTGTAGACTACAGTTCAGCAACAAATTTCAGACCAAAGACCAATTTTTGGGGGACAGCTTGTCCAATTGGGGACAGAAGGCAGGTCCCCAATTTGGAAAAAGCTGATCTTTGTGTCAGTGGTTAGGGTTAGGGTTAGGGTTAGGTAAGTACTGGTTATGGTTAGGGTTAAGGTAAGTCTCCAGGAAATTAATGTAATGTCCCCCAAAGTGACATAAGTATACATGTGTGTGTTTTCATTCCTAGGTGTAATAGCTCTCAGTCAGGAGTTTGGCAATCTAGCTGAAGGACTCAAGCACCTTTCTCTATCCCGGGTATCAATGACTGCTAGAGGTACTCACACTATACATTTTACAACATACCCCCTGTGGTCTGTTTTTTATTGTACTTTTATAAAAAGAGGAAGACATATGAAGAGGAGGTGGATATCACCTGGGCAGTGTACTATTAGTCCTGCAGTTGTCCATCCTGTTCTTCTTTCCCAGGGTGAACAAGAATAGAAAGAGCTATGATTTTACATTCAGTTTGGTGCACAGTCTGATATATCTGTTTGCAGGTCTTGGCTGTCTGAGTCAGGTATTATCCTCCACTCAGCTGTTCTCCGCTACTCTGACCCACCTCGATCTGTCCAGTAACCCCGGCAGCCTGATTACTGAAGAGGCCACGGTACATTCTGCACACATGGATACACATACAATACACATACTGTACATACACATTCAGAAGTGGCCCTGTAATACGGAAGGCTCAGGAGAAATCCAGGAATAAAAACAAAAAACCCACCTTATGAGGCTTGCTTGGATTTATAGACCTTTTTCACAGCAGCCATGTTTGTGTTACCTATGATACTAATTAAGGCTTTGTTCCATTTAGTGTAGCCGAGCCCTTTTTTGTAAGCCAACATGGACAATGTCAGTACCCTAAATGTTTGTCCTGAATGAAACAGAGCCTTAATTAGATACAATATATACAATATATAGCATATACAATTATAGTAAATATGTACAATATTTAAAGGGACACATACATGGTTTAACTCCTGGACTCAAAGGCCCAGTATATGTGCAGGGAAGGACCTTCTACATGTCCAAGTTAACACTGGTTTGTGGGAACAACATGTCATTTACTTTTCAGCAACACTTGTGCACTCTTGCACCAAAACATGCCGAAACATCTTAAACATATACTAACTACACAATATGTACACGTGTGTGTGTCTTGCAGTTTCTCTTCAAGTTCTTGTCAAGTACTAACTCTCTGTCTCATCTGGACCTCAGTGACACTACCTGCCCTCTGGACACGGTCAGTGAGAGACAGTTTTCACAGACGTTTTGGAAAATTAGCTTGCTGTCAGAGGAGAAACAATCACATTAAGGGACAGGTCTGTGACGTAGTTAGCCTCACTTAGCAGAAAGACTAGAAGCAAAGTGCTAGCCTAGATCCAGATTATTATATAATCATAAAATGTTATATGTACAAAAGAAACATTGTGGTTTATAAAGTCTCAGTGAGGGGAATAGTGGAACTAAGTACACAGGGACATCAGAAAGCCTGGGAATTGCCTGAAAACTTCAATTTTGAAAATGTTTATTAATATATTATTAATAATCTATTACTGTCTGGCTATTTATTGTCTCTAAACTAATAATAGAGCCTCTCTGATTGATGTGTTATTAACTGTGAACGTCTGTGCTTCCCTCATTCTAACTTTGTCTTGCAGTTATTTGTGTCCCTGTCAGCTGGATGTTGTTACAAACTGATGCACCTGAACCTGGCCAGAAACCCTTTCAGCCACAGGTCAGCTCCCCTGAGCCACTTCAGTAAAGTCACCAGTCCTCAGTTTGTTAGCTGTGCACTTGACATCCTCTGTCAACTTCCTCCTTCGCTGTACTTAGATATGCTATGTGCTAGATGGTTGAAAGATAAAAGCAACATATATATATATTGCTAGCTAATCTACATTAATCATTAGCTAGCTCGTTACATCTGATATTTAATGTTAGCAAAACGCTAGCTACTCATAATCCACTATAGCACAGTTTTCATGGTGTGTTCGATAAAACTATGTGTGTGTGTGTGTGTGTTGTTGTGCCCGTGTAGAAAGGTGCGCGAGGTGACCAGGAGCATTCGTGAGTTCTTCAGTCAGAGCTGTGAGTTAAAATACGTGGGCCTGTCTGCAACCAAACTACCTCCACAAGCTCTCAGGTGTGTTTCCTTCCAACAAATGCAACAATATGATATTTAAACCTTTAAACCAGTGTTTCTCAAACATTTTACATGGCGGACCACCTCACAAAATATCAGGCTCTCCAAATCACCATTATTACCAAGGTTAATCTCATCCCATATTGAAAAATAAAATGCACTGTCCCTTGCTGAAACAATCCAGGATGCAATTTGTCCTGTATTTTGGTGCACATCCTTCTCTAACGCATTAGAAATAATGAAACCAAAAGAGTTTCACAAGTATTAAATCACAATTTGCAGAAGAGAATGACACCTTGAATGACACGTCATCATTGCCCTGGCTATGGAGACTCAGATGCACATTTTTTTTTTAAATGTTAGCGAATACCTCCAAAAGAAAGCAGCTGTCCAAACACAGATCTCAATGGCAAACAGAGCACCAATGGACGTCAGTTGGAATGGGTACAAAAATGTCCTGTTGCTCCTGATAGACTGTCCAACCTGAAGCAAGATTATGCAAGGGACACAAATTGGTGCATAAAAATCATCATAATGTGGTGATTAACACTCAAAATCTCATAGGGGAGGACTCGGAGACCTGCCGCTTGATTTGGCATTCCGGGCATGGGACCGCTGACATGGTATCCCTTAGTCCTCCATGTTGAAGGTGGCAAACTTAGCGTAGGCCGACCCGGTTCAGCTACAGACAGTTCACACAGGAGACAGGTTTAATCCTAATAAGAAGATTATTTGTTGACTGTTGTCAGCCACAGCCACACTGTACAAAAGTCTCATATACTGCAACGTGTAACTAGTCATGGATGTATGCTTGTGCTTCATGCATGAACGTGACTATGTAGCAGGCTGATATTGAAAGCTTGCATACTACCAGTGGTACCTGTACCATAGTTGGCAAACTGGTGGGTTAAGCCAATAAATTCAAATTCTTTCATTCAGAATACTGTTATCTCTGCACACACACAACACACATTGTACACATGTACAAACTATAGCTATAACATGTATGGACGTGTATATTTTTTGTATAGACTTGTAGATATGTTTTGCAACTAGGTTATTACTGCAGGGCCTGGCGACCAACACTCGTCTCTTTGGGCTGGAGTTGGACCTCAGTAGCTGTGAGGTAGAGTACACATTTTTACACAAATGCAATTAAACACCTTTTTTGTTTGTGATGATGTTGGCAGAAGCCACAGTAAACAAATTACTGTATACCTGTGTGTGTGTGTGTGTGTGTGTTTGTGTGTGTGTGTAGCTACGTTCAGCGGGGGCCCAGGTGATACAAGAGCACATCTCTGAAGCTACAGCTATCAAAAGTCTGGATATCTCTGACAATGGTATGGAAAACCACACACACACACACAC